GAGGAGGAAAGGAAACATGTATTTATGGATTCAAATAATCCACTCTAATAAGTCACCTGTTCATTTCCCTCTAACTAGTTGTATTTTCCTCTGTCTAGTGATGGCATTTTAGCTTCTTCCACGTGTTGGAATAAGTTGGAAAAGTAACTTTTTCCAACTCTATCCCCATAAATTCAAAGCCCAATTGTGGTTTCTGTCCAGACTATTTTGAATAGACCAAAAAGCCCAGCTTTGAAATTGAGGTTCAAACCACTTTCCTAACCCTTTGGGCATCATTATTGTTCTCTTACCAGATTAGAAAAGGAGTAAGGCCCTTCTGACTTGGAAAACAGATGTGGACTTCCTCCTTCACCTTTTCTTTCAAGTCAGGCCTTGAGGGTATCATGAGATTAAGAACTAGGTGTCTCGTAGGGCAAGATTACAATTTTTCTAATGAAGAAGCCTAGCATACTACTTACATAAGATATCTGTCACGTTTCGGAATTCTTGACTTCTTGTTTTGCCCTGTGTTTTGTTCTCATATTCCATATTTTGGGGACTACTTTGACCAGGGACCACTTTGACCAGGGAACGCCTGGACCAGGGACCACTTGACCTGGGATCAATTGACCAGGGACCACTTGACTAGGGTCTAATTTGACCAGAGACCATTTGACCAGGGATTACTTTGACCAGGGAACACCTTGACCAGGGACCACTTCACCCTGGATCAATTGACCAGGGACCACTTGACTAGGGACCAATTTGACCAGGGACCACTTGACTAGGGACCAATTTGACCAGGGAACACTTTGACCAGGGACCACTTGACCAGGTATCAATTGACCAGGGACCACTTGACTAGGGACCAATTTGACCAGGGACCATTTGACCAGGGATCATTTTGACCAGGGACCACTTTGATCAGGGACCACTTGACCAGGGACCACTTTGACCAGGGACCACTTGACCAGGGATCATTTTGACCAGGGACCACTTTGATCAGGGACCACTTGACCAGGGATCACTTTGACCAGGGATCATTTTGACCCGGGACCACTTTGACCAGGGACCACTTGACCAGGGACCACTTTGACCAGGGACCACTTTGATCAGGGACCACTGGACCAGGGAACACCTTGACCAGGGACCACTTGACCAGGGATCAATTGACCAGGGACAACTTGACCAGTGACCAATTTGACCAGGGACCAATTTGACCAGGGATCACTTTGACCAGGGATCACTTTGACCAGGGACTACTTTGACCAGGGACAACTTGACCAGGGACAACTTTGACCAGGGACCACTATGACCAAGGACCACTCACCAACATTAGTACCAAAGGGGTTACGAATCTGTTTTTGGTCAACTTTAGATTCGATTTGGTTATGTGGGGTGCTGATTCAGAAAATTTCATTAGGTAGACCACATCAGGTCTAGTTTCTAATACAGAACATATGCCATCCAATAGTTGCCATCTGCTTGCCCACAGAAAACCATATTTGGTGGTTCACGGACCACAGGTTGGGAACCACTGCCTTTTCCCATAGGATCTCTCATGACTTCTTCATGCATTCTTGGCTTCTTATATGTATCAACCTGCCCCCAATACTAAGAATGACCTGTCCTTTTTCTTTCTCCTTCATCCCATAGGCCAGTCGCCACTCGCCTGTTGCCTGGGGTGCTGATTTAGAAAATTGTATTGGATAGACCACATCAGCTCTAGTTTCTGATACAGAACATATGCCACCCAGCAGTCAACATGTGCTCGCCCACAGAAAATCATATTTAATAAGCCTTGGCACTATAAGAGGGTTTCGCGAGACCAGTCGCTCTTGCAAGACCATATTTTGGTTCGTGCGGACTACTGATGGTCCATGGACCACAGGTTGGGAACCACTGCTCTATCATCTCCTTCTATTCATCTCCTTTTCTAGATCTTTAGTTGAAGCTATGAATAATTGCCAAGACATCTGGAGGAGTCGAAGGCCACATAAACAGGGCCTCATGTGTGGCCTACATGTGTTCAAGGAGAATGCTTTATCCACACATGGCTTAGAAAAAAGGACCCAAACCAGTGGTCCTATTGTCAATAAGAAGGTTTTGTGAGGCCAGTTGCTCTCATTGAAATGCGTAGTAATGGCGAAGGTACTGACCATATTTTAGTTCTTGTGGACCACTGGTGGTCCATGGACCTCAGGTTGGGAACCACTGCCCTAGTTCAACAATTGTGCCATTAAGTCTCGGTCATAAGGTGGCCATAAGTCACGAATGTCTCGAAGGCACACAACAAGAACAAAGGACCTCAAAGGGGACTCTAAATCCCATCAGCTTGAGGCCAATCTCGTGATGTGGCTGGGTTCGAAAAGGATGGGCCAAGCACGAGAAGGCCGAAAATGGCATCCTGAGGATGAGATGAAGCATTTCGGGATCATCAGAGAAGAATTTTCTCATGACATTGATGGAGAAATCGGGGATCATATTTTAGTTCTTGAGGACCACTTGGAGGTCCACAAACCACAGATTAAGAATGTGATAAACCACAGATTAGGAACCACTGATCTACATCTGGAGGAGTCAAAGCCCACACCAACAGGGCCTCATGTGTAGCCTACATATGTGTCCAAGGACCATGTTTTGTTCACACGTGGCCTAGAAAACAGGACCCAAACCAGTGGTCCCATTGTCAATAAGAAAGTTTTGTGAGACCACTTGCTCTCATTGAAATGTGTAGTAATGGGGAGGCCGCGGACCATATTTTAGTTCTTGTGGACCACTGGTAGTCCATGGACCACAGGTTGAAGCTACAAATAATTGCCAAGACATCTGGAGGTGTTGAAGACCACATCAACAAGAACTCATGTGTAGCCTACATATGTGTCCAAGGACCATGTTTTGTTCACACGTGGCCTAGAAAAAAGGACCCAAACCAGTGGTCCCAGTGTCAATGGGACAAACAGTCACTCTTGTTGCAGCAGTGTAGTAACTATGAAGCCGTAGACCAGTAGTTCTCAACCTGGGGTCCCCAGATGTTTTTGGCCTACAACTCCCAGAAATCCTACCCAGTTTGCCAGCTGTTAGGATTTCTGGGAGTTTAAGGCCAAAAACATCTGGGGACCCCAGGTTGAGAACCACTGCTGTAGACCATATTTTAGTTCTTACGGACCACTGGTGGTCCACGGATCACAGGTTGGGAACCACTGCTCTACAATCTCCTTCTGTTCAAGTCCTTTTCTAGATCTTTAATTGAAGCTATGAATAATTGCCAAAACATCTGGAGGAGCTGAAGTCCACATCAACAGGGCCTCATGTGTGGCCTACATATGTGTCCAAGGACCATGTTTTGCCCACACATGACCTAGAAAAAAGGACCCAAACAACTGGTCCCATTGTCAATGGGAAAACAGTCAGTCTTGTAGTAACGGTGAAGCCATGGACCAAATTTAGTTCTTGCGGACCACTGGTGGTCCATGGACCACAGGTTGGGAACCACCACTCTACCATCTCCTTCTGTTCAAGTCCTTTTCTAGATCTTTAGTGGAAGTTATGAATAATTGCCAAGACATCTGGAGGAGTTGAAGGCCACATCAACAGGATCTCATGTGTAGCCTACATATGTGTCCAAGGACCATGTTTTGTCCACACGCGTCACTCTTGTTGCAACAGTCACTCTTGTTGCAACAGTGTAGTAACTATGAAGCCATAGACCATATTTTAGTTCTTGCGGACCACTTGGAGGTCCACAAACCACAGATTGGGAACCACTGATCTAAATGAGGGGAAATTTTCTGCAATGGACATGGTCCATACAGAAAAGTCTGAAAATGCAGAAAATCTCACCTCTGGCTGGGTTGTGTTCCTTGAGGTATGAAGACATCTCAAGGACCAAAACATGAGGGAGTGTCCTTCACCTCTCTGGCTGCAGCTACATTGTGGATTGAGTAGGCCACATCAGCTCTAGTTTCTGATACAGAACATATGCCATCCAGTAGTCACTGTCTATTTGTCTACACTTGACCCGGGATCAATTGACCAGGGACCACTTGACTAGGGACCAATTTGACCAGGGACCACTTGACCAGGGACCACTTTGACCAGGGACCACTTGACCAGGGATCATTTTGACCAGGGACCACTTGACCAGGGACCACTTTGACCAGGGACCACTTTGATCAGGGACCACTGGACCAGGGACCACTTGGACCAGGGACCACTATGTCCAAGGACCACTCACCAACATTAGTACCAAAAGGGTTACAAATCTGTTTATGGTCAACTTTAGATTCGATTTGGTTATTTGGGGTGCTGATTCAGAAAATTTCACTGGGTAGACCACATCAGCTCTTGCTTCTGATACAGAACATATGCCATCCAGTAGTCACTGTCTGTTTGTCTACACAAAACCATATTTAATAACCCTCATCACTACAAGAATGTTTCACAAGTCCAGTTGCTCGTGTTGCAACATTGTAGTAACGGTGAAGTCACGGACCATATCTTATGGTGGTCACTGGTGGTCTGCAGTTCCATACCACTTCAACTGTCATGGCTAAATATTATTGAATCAGAGCAGACGTATCCTCATTTTGCCACGCGTCCCGTGGTCACATCCGTTTCCATAATCTTTTAATTCTCCACCATGATAGGTAGGTATCATTAAAAGGTCTAGATAACATAATGGCCATCTAAGAAGGAAGCAATCTTGTAAAACCGCAATTCCCAGAATTCCATAGCATGCAGCCATGCGAGGTAAAGTGGTGTCATATTGCTTTAATTCTTGTAGTGTGGCTGCAACCCTTAGGCTCAAGATAGTTCTCGGTTGTTCTACCAAAGGATGAGTAGGAACCAGAATGGGACAATATATATCTTCCTGGAAGCCCTTCAAATTAAGACATTTTCATTAAAAGCGGTGATGTCAAAGAGCAATTTGAGGGATGAATGGTTAGAGCAGAGTAGACCTTTTAATACTAGGTTTCCTTATCCCTTAAAGTGCTTCATTTCCGGAACCTGACTGATAAGAACAATATAAAAGAGCTGGTGTCCTTTTCTTCCTCATCTCCTTGATCCTTGGTCCATTTGATCCCTTTTGGTAAGTCTGATAAGATCAGGATTCACTCCTGTTGTTAATAAATTCCTACATTTCAGTGGTTTCTTCACTGGTCTCATGGAAATATTTTTGGAAATATGATTGGGAAGACTCCTTTTTTCCTTACTTTTATGGTCACCTGGGATGGTTTTAAGAAGGTTATGTGATAGCTTCAAAGGTGTTCCACAGAATACCTGGAAAGACTCCTATTTTCCTTACTTTCATGGTCACCTGGGAAGGTTTTAAGAAGGTTGTGTGATAGCTTCAAAAGCATTCCACAGAATACCTGGAATACATAAAGAATGTAGACCGCTTTGTGAGACAATGTCGTGATAGAGAGTCCTTTGGGATGAATGTAGATTAATAAAATATGTTTCTAGATGTTTTGAAGGAACTTGAAAGGAGTAGGTGGAAAAATAATGATCAATAAAGACACGTAGATGGTTTTTCCCTCTGAGAAATTGTTGCTAGTCTTATCAAATTTCTTCGGAGTCTCCATAAAATTCCAAAAAGATGTTAGGAATTTTGGAACCTTTGGATTCATTTCAGTTATACATTACCAGCTGTTTGGAAACTGGGTTGTTGTAGGTTTTTTGGGCTATATGGCCATGTTCTAGAAGCATTCTCTCCTGACGTTTCGCCTGCATCTATGACAAGGGTTCTCAGATTATCTGGAAGATCTAGGAAAAACTGGAGTTGATGAGAAGCTCTGGGGGACCACAAGAGTTTGGGCAGATCTAAGGATGTTAGATGAGGAGGACCTCAATGTTGTAGATCAACCAAGAGAGTTTGATGGTTTAGAGAGGATTGTGAGCTTTCCTGTAGCACAAAATGATGGGCTCTCAAGTCTGGGAAATTAAAGTTTGGGAAACGATGGTTCCCTCTGTGAGAAAACCAGTTTGGAAAGTGCAGGGCCTCAAGAGCATTCAAGGGAGTCAGAAGTAGCAACAGCAGATAAAGAATTGAGTGAGTGATAAGGAGGGCGCCCATGAGAACCCACCTGTAACTATGAAGATCAGCAAAGGTGTTTGGGAAATTAAAGTTTGGGAAACGATGGTTCCCTCTGTGAGAAAACCAGTTTGGAAAGTGCAGGGCCTCAAGGACATTCAAGGGAGTCAGAAGTAGCAACAGCAGATAAAGAATTGAGTGAGTGATAAGGAGGGCGCCCATGAGAACCCACCTATAACTATRGAGATCAACAAAGTTGTCTGGGAAATTGAAGTTTGGGAAATGATGGTTCCCTCTTKGAGAAAACCAGTTTGGAAAGTGCAGGGCCTCAAGGGCATTCAGGGGAGTCAGAAGTAGCAACAGCAGATAAGGAATTGAGTGAGTGATAAGGAGGATGCCCATGAGAATCCACCTGTAACTATGGAGATCAACAAAGGTGTCTAGGAACTTTCCAAACTGGTTTTCTCACAGTGCAGGGTCTCAAGGGCATTCAGGGGAGTCAGAAGTGGGAACAGCAGATAAGGAATTGAGTGAGTGATAAGGAGGGCGCCCATGAGAACCCACCTGTAACTATGAAGATCAACAAAGGTGTCTGGAAAATTAAAGTTTGGGAAATGATAGTTCCCTCTGTGAGAAAACCAGTTTGGAAAGTGCAGGGCCTCAAGGGCATTCAGAGGAATCAGAAGTAGCAGCAGCAGATAAGGAATTGAGTGAGTGATAAGGAGGGAGCCCATGAGAACCCATCTGTAACTTTGGAGATCAACAAAGGTGTCTGGGAAATTAAAGTTTGGGAAATGATTGTTCTGGGAAATTAAAGTTTGGGAAATGATAGTTCCCTCTGTGAGAAAACCAGTTTGGAAAGTGCAGGGCCTCAAGGGCATTCAGGGGAGTCAGAAGTAGCAACAGCAGAAAAGGAACTGAGTGAGTGATAAAGAGGGTGCCCATAAGAACCCACCTGTAACTACGGAGATCAACAAAGGTGTCTGGGAAATTAAAGTCTGGGAAACGATGGTTCTCCCTGTGAGAAAACTGGCTCAGAAAGTGCAGGGCCTCAAGGGCATTCAGGGGAGTCAGAAGTAGCAACAGCAGATAAGGAATTGAGTGAGTGATAAGGAGGGTGCCCATGAGAACCCACCTGTAACTACGGAGATCAACAAAGGTGTCTGGGAAATTAAAGTTTGGGAAGCGATGGTTCCCTCTTTGAGATAACCAGTTTGGAAAGTGCAGGGCCTCAAGTAGCCACAGCAGATAAGGAATTGAGTGAGTGAAAAGGAGGGTGCCCATGAGAACCCACCTGTAACTATGGAGATCAACAAAGGTGTCTGGGAAATTAAGGTTTGGGAAATGATGGTGAGAAAACCAGTTTGGAAAGTGCAGGGTCTCAAGGGCATTCAGGGGAGTCAGAAGTAGCAACAGCAGATAAGGAATTGAGTGATAAGAAGGGTTCATGAGAAATAGCACTTTGGATTTGGAATTCGACTGGAACGGGGATATGGCTGTTAATACTGTTTTTACTGTTTTAATTAATGTTTCATTGATTGTTTTATTTATTGTTTTAATTGTTGTTATATCGCTTTGTTATATGTTGTGGCATCGAATTGTTGCCAAATGTAAGCCGTCCTGAGTCCCCCTTTGGGGGTTGAGAAGGAATGGAGTAGAAATACTGGAAATAAATAAATAATAAATCAATAACCTTCCTGTAGTTGTGGAGATCAGCAAAGGCCTTCACTTACAAATCAGAGCTGAAAATAGATTGCGTCGTTAAGAGAGATTACGTGGGAAAGTTGTGAAGGAAATTCATGGGAAATGGAACGATTTCATGGGTGTCTATTAAACAAACTTAATGTTAGTTCAGGCAAGGCTGTGTTAGAGTGAGAAGCTAAGCCTGAGTTCTCTTGTTCCTGGTTCAAGTCAAGCTTTGGTTTTGAATTTTATATACATCCTGGAAGTTTTCTATGTTCCTGTTCATGTACTCCTGTTTTACTAGTTATGCCTTCTTGGTTGTGGACTTATCAGTATCTGTGATTTCTGGCTGTTCCTGGACTTTGTCACCTCTGGCACTTTATGAGACGTTTGGATTATTGTTTGGTTATTACCCGTTGCTAAACCTTTTTGGATTATATATCTTCCTTAATCCCAGGATTAAGAGAAACCCAGGGCACGGGGAAGATTTTCAGAACGACTTCAGGATGTTAGGAGGAGCTCAGGTAGACCTCGGGAGGTTATGAAGATCTTGGAAGGGCCTCAGGAGTTGAGGAGGATTTCAGGATACTTCTTAGGAAGGTGATCTCAGGGTGTGTTTCTGAATTAAAATTCATAAAAGTGCAATTAAGTTGTATATCGTTGCAATGATTGGAGAGAAAGAAGCATACTTCTTGATATAATGCAGAAGGTTGAAAGTTCAAGTGCTTGCATCTCCAAGTTGGGAATAGCAGGACCACTTTTCCCTTGTTTTTGTCTTCCTTCCTCTCTCCTTTCACCATCTCGTTTCCTCATCCTTTTTGTCTTTCTGTTCCTCTTCCTCCATTTCTTTGTGTTCTTTTTCTTCTTCCTCCTCTCCTCCTCCTCCTTCCTTTCCTTCCTTCTGTTCTTCCTCTCCCCTTCATTTTGTATTTTTTATTTTTTATTTTAATTTTATTATTTTATTATTTTATTATTTTATTATTTTATTATTTTATTATTTTATTATTTTATTATTTTATTATTTTATTATTTTATTATTTTATTATTTTACTATTTTACTATTTTATTATTTTATTATTTTATTATTTTATTATTTCATTATTTCATTATTTCATTATTTCATTTTATATTTTATTATTTCATTTTATATTTTATCTTCCTTTTATTTTTATTATTTTTTATTATTTTATTTATTTATCTTTTATCTTCCTCTCCCCTTCTCTACCTCCATCCTCTTTTCTCTTCCTTTTATTTCTTTCTCCTTCTCCTCTCTTCTTCTTTTTGCATTTACCCTTGTTCTTTCCTCCACCTCCTCCTTTTCTCCTTCCTCTCCTTCCTGTTGTTCCATTTTCTTTTGTTTCTTCTTCCTCGTTTTCTCTTCTCCTCCTCCATTTCCTTTTGTCCTTTTCTCTATTTTTCCTCTTCTTCTCCTTCCCTTCTCCTCCACCACTCTACCATCTCCTTCTGTTCAAGTCCTTTTCTAGATCTTTAGTGGAAGCTATGAATAATTGCCAAGACATCTGGAGGAGTTGAAGGCCACATCAACAGGACCTCATGTGTGGCCAACATATGTGTCCAAGGACCATGTTTTGCCCACACGTGACCTAGAAAAAAGGACCCAAACAACTTGTCCCAATGTCAATAGGAAAAACAGTCGCTCTTGTTGCAAAAGTGTAGTAACTATGAAGCCGTAGACCATATTTTAGTTCTTGCGGACCACTGGTGGTCCACAGGTTGAGAACCACCGCTCTAACATCTCCTTCTGTTCAAGTCCTTTTCTAGATCTTTGGTGGAAGCTATGAATAATTGCAAAGACATCTGAAGGAGTTGAAGGCCATATCAACAGGACCTCATGTGTGGCCTACATATGTGTCCAAGGACCATGTTTTGCCACACGTGACCTAGAAAAAATAACCCAGCCAGTGGTCCCAGTGTCAATGGGAAAACAAAACAGTAGGTCTTGTTACAACAGTGTAGTAACTGTGAAGCTGTGGACCCTATTTTAGTTCTTGTGGACCACTGATCTACCATCTCCTTCTGTTCAAGTCCTTTTCTAGATCTTTAGTGGAAGCTACGAATAATTGCCAAGACGTCTGGAAGAGTCGAAGGCCACATCAACCCAACCCAAACCCAACCCACATCAACCCAACCCAAACAAGTGGTCCCATTATCAATGGGAAAAAAAACAGTCCCTCTTGTGACAACAGTGTAGTAACTGTGAAGCTGTGGACCATATTTTAGTTTTTGTGGACCACTGGTGGTCCATGGACCACAAGTTGGGAACCACTGCTCTAACATCTCCTTCTGTTTAAGTCCTTTTCTAGATCTTTATGTGTAGCCTACATTTGTGCCCAAGGACCATGTTTTGTGTAGCCTACCTATGTGTCCAAGGACCATGTTTTGTCCAAGGACCATGTTTTGTCCACAAGGACCATGTTTTGTCCAAGGACCATGTTTTGTCTACCTATGTGTCCAAGGACCATGTTTTGTCCAAGGACCATGTTTTGACCATGTTTTGTCCGTGACCTAGAAAAAAGGACCCAAACCAGTGGTCCCATTGTCAATGGGAAAACAGTCAGTCTTGTAGTAACGGTGAAGCCATGGACCATATTTTAGTTCTTGTGGACCACTGGTGGTCCATGAACCATAGGTTGGGAACCATTGCCTTATTCTATAGGATCTCTCATGGCTTCTTGATGCATTGTTGGTTCCTCATATGCATGTGTCAATCTGAGAATGACCTCCTTCTTTTCTCTCTCCTTCATCCCATAGGCCACTCTCCACTCGCCTGTAGGATGTCTTATCAATGCAAGCAACGCTGCCTCCCGCCTCCCATATTCCTCAAAGGGAACTCCATCAAGTGCGCGGAAGTGTGCGCCCCAAGAAGTAAATCCCCTTGCAGAGGCGCCTGCTCCTCAGACACTTGCGGAAGCGCATGCGCCCCCGCGAAGGATCCATGCTGCGCCCCATGCCAACCCGTGTGTTGCGACCCATGCGTCAGCAAGATTGAGAAGTGCCCGGATCCATGCTGTGGTGGCACCGTCGCCAAGACAGAGATATGCAAAAGCCCATGTGTCAGCGTCTGTCCCGTGCCATGCCCGCCGGAGCCAGTGATATGCAAAAGCCCGTGTGCCAGTGTTTGCGATGCCACGTGCGAGGAAGTGACTTGTGGCTGCCAAGGCCAATCTGGTGTCTGCCAGCCTCAGTCATGCTTCCCGTTCTGCATTGCGCCTTGCCAGGGCCAGTCTTGCGTGCCTTTTTGCGGCAACCCTTGCCAGGGGCAGTCTTACATCCCGGTCTATATCCCAGGCTGTGGAGTTGTTTTGGTGCCACAAAGCTGCCTGAATCCATGCGCCGGCTCCTGCCCATGTGCCGGCTCCTGCCCGTGGTCGTCTTCCTGTTGCCAACCCTCTTGCTGCTGTCCGGTGCCATCCTGTTGCAACTCATCCTGCTGTTCGCAGCCCGCTTCCTGTGCCAAATGCTCGTGCGGTTCGTGTTCCAAGAAACAGAATTCCTAATGCTCTGGAAATCCCAAATTCGTATCATCACAGAACGATACGGTTTTGAGTCCCTTTTCGCCGTCTTCTCCATCTCTCCCTGAGATTTGCAGTTTCACAAAGGGGGACTCAGAGCAGCTAACATAGGCAGCAATTCGATGCCACATCAGTATAACAATCACATCGGTATGAAACATCAATACATAAATAGTAAAAACAATTAGTTATATCATCACCCAATCGCATAATCACATAATCCGTTTCCAAATTATCGTTAACAGTCATCAAGTCCAGTTCCATGTTCAATGTGCTGCTATACCCACTAGCCAAAGGCGTGGTTCCATAACCACGATTTTAGTTTTTTCCTGAAGGAAAGGAGGGAGTGAATTCCACAAGCGGGGGGTCACTACTGAGAAGGCCCTGTCCCTCGTCCCCACCAGCCGGTGGGACCGAGAGCAGGGCCTCCCCGGCAGATCTTAGACGACGAGGTGGAATGTAGAGGGATTAGTTATACGTTCGGGGTTATACGTTCGGATAAGTAAGCTCACCATATATACTTAGGTAAAGGTTTTCCCCTGATATTAAGTCTAGCTGTGTCTGACTCTGGGACTCTGGTGCTCGTCTCCATTTCTAAGCTGAAGAACCGGAATTGTCCGCAGACGCCTCCAAGGTCATGACTGCATGGAGCGTCGTTACCTTCCCTCCGGAGCGGTACCTATTGATCTCCTCACATTTGCATGTTTTCGAACTGCTAGGTTGGCAGGAGCTGGGGCTAACAGCAGGAGCTCACCCCACTCCCAAGTATCTAGGATTATTATTATTATTTGAAACACAACAAGATGAGACGACAGCAGACACTCCAAAACTCTGTCTCCCTGAATTCAGAAGTCCCAGAGAAGTTTGATGTTATTATTATTATTATTATTATTATTATTATTATTAGAAACACAACAAGATGAGTCCACAGCAGACACTCTGCTGGCTGTTGCATTGGATCACACGTCGGACACTTCCCAAGTGTCTAGGACTGTGTGATGTATCGGCGAATATCAGTGCAGATCCCAGTAAAGTAGCCTTTTGAAGCTGGCAGATGGTAATCTTGTCAGTTCCAATTGTGTTTAAGTGCAGGCCAAGGTCTTTAGGCACTGCACCCTGTGTGCCGATCACCACTGGGACCACCTTGACTGGCTGCTGCTGCTTCTCCTCCTCCTCTTCCTCCTCTTCCTCCTCCTCCTTCTTCCTAGTATTATTATTATTATTATTATTATTATTATTATTGTTGTTGTTGTTATTTGAAACACAACAAGATGAGTCCACAGCGGACACTCTGTTGGCTGTTGCATTGGATCACACGTCGGACACTTCCCAAGTATCTAGGACTGTGTAATATATCGGCAAATAATGCGTGCAGATCAGAGTAAGGTGGCCTTTTGCAGCTGGCAGATGGAATTTTGTCAGCGCCGATTGTGTTTAAGTACAGGCCAAGGTCTTTAGGCACTGCACCCAGTGTGTCGATCACCACTGGGACCACCTTGACTGGTTTGTAACTTTTTCTGGCTTGTGATCCCACCAGGCAGATGGTCTTTGTGGCACAAGTTCCAATTAATCATCCGAGCAACGGTGTTGTGCCTCTGCTTGTAGACTGTCTCGCGATCTTCGAGCAGCAGCTGAGGATGGGATCTATTGTTTCATCTGCTTCCTTGCACAGTCATTATTATTATTATTATTATTATTATTATTATTATTATTATTGACACAAAAGCACAGTAGGTCACAGCCAACGAGATCTATATGCTGGATTTCGTATTATTATTATTATTATTATTATTATTATTATTATTATTATTATTTTAGCTAGACCAGTGGTTCTCAACCTGTGGGTCCCCAGGTGTTTTGGCCTACAACTCCCAGAAATCCCAGCTAGTTTACCAGCTGTTAGGATTTCTGGGAGTTGAAGGCCAAAATCAGCTGGGGACCCCAGGTTGAGAACCACTGTCCTATTTATTTCAATTATTTATTTCAATTACTTATACCCCGCCCTTCTCACCCCCGAGGGGGGACTCAGGGCGGCTTACAAACAACGGCACAATTCGATGCCTGAATCAATAAACAAACAATACCTACAACAATTTAGACAGTTAACAAGTTAAAAACATTAGTACATAATAAAATAGCAAAACAATCTCATGCTCAGTGTTCAGAGTTCTGTATATCCATTCCATTCCATTCGTCCATGTTTGTCGTCAGATCTTCCTTTAGCTGCCAGCATGTCCAAAAGCTTGGTCCCATATCCAGGTCTTCAGTTTTTTCCTGAACGTCAGAAGGGAGGTCGCTGATCTAATCTTCCCAAGTGTCTAGGACTATTTTATTATTATAATTATTATTATTATCTGACACAAAACCACAGTATGTCACAGCAAACGAGATCTCTATGCTGGATTTCGTATCACAAAATCACAAGTCGGACACCTCCCAAGTGTCTAGGACTATGTGATGTATTTTTGAATGATGCGCACTAGGGCTGGGCAACCACGGAAAAAATTGTTTCTAAACTCGATTTGTTTTTTGGGGTTTTTTGCGTTTCGATATTTAAAAGAATTCCGAAATTTTTCTTTAAAAAAGTTCGATATTTACGAAATTTCGTAAAATTACGAAACGAATACGAAACGAATACGAAACGATTCGTTAATGGCGGACGCGACCGCGCAATACCCTAAAAAACCTCCAAATGGGACAGGGGGAACTTCTGAAGCTTCCCTCTCCCTCTGTGGTTGACTGTTGGTGTGATATTTATAATTTTTTTTCACTGATTAAACAAACAACAACTATAAAACTTGCCCCAGACATGCAGAAATAATAACGAAACAATTTCGAAACGATTTCGAAATGAATACGAAGCAATTACGAAACGAATTGAAAAATTCGTTTCATTTTTTAGATGCTCCTGAATGGTTCCTTATCGCTTCGTAACCAAAATAAATAACGAATTTTTAACAAATTACGAAATTACAAAACGAAACCGCCCAGCCTTAATGCACACAGATCCAAGTCAGGTGGCCTTTTGCAGTTGACAGATCGTGATTGTTTCCAAATGCCAGCTGAGATCTTTTGGCATGGCTCCCAGTGTGCCCATTATTACCACTGGGACCACCAGTACTGGTTTATGCCAGAGCCTTTGCCATTCGATTTTGAGGTCTTGATAGCGGCTGAGTTTTTCCTGTTGTTTTTCCTCAATGCGACATCAACAATCCAGACTTTTTTCTTTCCCACAATCATGATGTCTGCCGTGTTGTGTTCCAAAACTTTGTTGTCCTGGATTCAAAAGTCCCACAATATTTTTGCATGTTCATTTTCAACAACGTTTGCAGGTTTATGATCCCACCAATTCTGCTGGCAGGTGGTCCTTGTGACATAAGTTCCAGTGAATCATTCGGACCACAGAGTTGTGCCTCTGTTTGTAGTCCATCTGTGCGATTTTCTTGCAGCAGCTGAGGAGATGGTCCATGGTTTCATCTGCTTCCTTGCACAGTCTGCATTTGGGGTTATTCGCTGATTTTTCAATCCTGGCCTTAATTGCATTTGTTCTGATGGCTTGCACCTGGGCTGCAAGAATTATTATTATTATTATTATTATTATTATTATTATTATTATTATTATTATTAGAAACACAACAAGATGAGTCCACAGCAGACACTCTGCTGGCTGTTGCAAAAATAAAGTCTTCTTCCGTCTCCTTCTTCAGGGTTCCATTCGTGAGCCAACACCAGGTCTTCTCCTTATCAACTTTTCCTTCTATTATTATTGTTATTATTATTATTATTATTATTATTATTATTATTATTATTTAAAATCTATACAATATCTATATCAACTTCTCTTGATTGAATGGGGTTGGACTGGATGGCCGACAAGGTCTCTTCCGACTCTGATTCTAAACCTATTTCTGCTTTCAATCAATACAATATGTTACATATATTTCTGTTGTGAAATCTGCTTAACTATGTAATAATCTTATCAGGGAAATATTATCAGGAGGACGCTATACGAGTTCTTCTTGGAACACGCTTCTTCTTGGGATTTTGTCATTTATTTATCTGCCTTTGCTTTTGCTTTCTTTCCTGCTTTGTATATTCAATATTATATCAAATAAAATCTGTCTTGCTGGGCAATGCAGGATTCTCGACTTTCCTTCGCAACCTACCATTTCTTGTTTGAGTCATATTTGGAGTAATGGCTTCATACCATCTATATAAATAAAAATGTCATGTTCGGGTGAGCGAGGCCTGCCTCGAAAAGCGCCTCCCGCCTGCTCCACGCCCAGCCCAGGCAAGAAGGGAAGGAAGGAACGAAGGAGAGAAGAAAAAAGAGAAAGAAAGAGGGCGGGAGAGAAAGAAGGAAAGAGAGAAGGAAAGATGGAAGCAAAGAGCAAAGGAAAGGAGGAAAGAAAGAGGGAGAGAAGGAAGAAAGGAGAGAAAGAAGGTAAAGAAAAGGGGGAGGAAAGAGAGCAGGAAAGAAAAAAAAGGAAGGAACGAAGGAAAGAGGGAGGAAAGGAAGGAAGGAGAGAAGAAAAGGGGGAGAAAGAGAAGGAAGAAAAAGGAAGAAAGGAAGAGGAGAAGGAAGGAAAGAGAAGAGAGAAAAGGGGGAGGAAAGAGAGAGGAAAGAAAAAAAGGAAGGAATGAAGGAAAGAGGGAGGGAAGGAAGAAGGAGAGAAAGGAACCAGGAGAAAGAGGAAGGAAGGAAGGAGAGACAGAAAGGAAGAGGAGAGGAAGGAAGGAGAGAAAGAAAGAAAGGGGAAAAGGAAGGAGAAAAAAAAGGAAGAGGAAAGGAAGGGAAGGAAGGAAGGAAGGAAGGGAAGAAGGGGAGGAAAGGAGAAGGAAGAAGAAAGAAAGGAGAAGGAAAGAGGGAGGGAAGAAAGGGGAAGAAAGAAAAGAAGAAGAGGAAAGAAAGGAAAGAAAAAAAAGGAAGGGAAGGAAAGAGGAGGAAGGAAGGAAGAAAAGAAGAAGAAGGAAGGGGGAAGGAAGGAAGGAAGAAAAAGAAGGAGAGGAAAGAGAGGAAGAAGGAGGAAGAGAGGAGAAGAAAAGGGAGGAAGGGAAAGAAAGAAAGGAAGGAGGAGGGAAGGAAGGAAGGAGAGAGAGAGAAGAGAAAGGAAAGAAAGAAAGAAGGAATGGAAAGAAATGGGTAGAGAAAGAAGGAAGGAAGGAGAGGAAAGGAAGGAAAGAAGAGCGAAGGAAGAAGAGAAAGAAAGAGAAGGGGAGGGAAGGAAGGAAAGGCAAAAGGAAGGATGGAAGCAAAAATCAAAGGAAGGAAGGAAAGAGTCAGAGAAGGAAGAAAGAGAAAGGGAAGGAAAAGAAAAAGGGAGGAAGGAAAGCGGTAGAGAAGGAAGGAAGGAGAGAAGGAAAAAACAGCAAGAATTCAGTGTTAACAATAAAAATATAAAACATCATACATCAACAGTGAATCAAAACACATCTATATAAATAAAAATGTAATGTTCGTT